GAATTAACAAACTAGCGAGGATAAACCAGATAATTAATAAGCCATGGAAACTAACATTCAAAAGTTTGGGATCAGTAAGATTTAATATTTTTTATTATTATTATTATTATTATTAAAATAACTTACTTTTTTAATTGATTTCTGAAGGATCATGTGACACTGAAAACTAGATTAATGGCCCCTGAAAAATTCAGATTTTCCATCACAGCAATAAATTACATTTAAAAAATTTATGATATTAAAGTTTAATAAAAAGTACTCACCCAAAGCAACTCATCTTTTAGTTTATCATGACTCAGAACAAGATGAAAGTGAAGTGGCTTTAAGAGATATATTCAGAAAATGAGTGTCACTTTAACCCAGAGGGACATAATTTAACAACCTCTGAGCCATCAAGAACCACTGACTACAACTGTCTAGAGACCCCTGCCTCTCTACATTGACCTGCAGAAGATCAGCACTGAATAATGAGTAGAAAATCCATGAGATTCACAAAGAGAGAGAGAGAGAGCCAGCCATCCTGTGTTAGCAGAAACTGAGACACGCCTACCTAATATAGTGAGACAAGGCTGATTAATTTATACAGTAAGAATTAAATGAGACCAGTGACATCATTTTACCAATTCGTGTTTAACTGAGTAGGACAGGATAGGATACAAGCTACTGTATGGTAAAAATATATGTTAAATGTATGTGAAAAATGCATTAGGCTTACACTACTGTTCAAAAATTTGGAGTCAGTACTTTTTTTAAGAAATTAAAAAGAAATACTTTTATTCAGCAAGGATGCACTAAATTGATCAAAAGTGACAGTAAAAACATTTAAAATGTTACAAAGTATCAGAGTATCTCGAATAAATGCCATTCTTTTGAACTTTCTATTTATCAAAGAATCCTGAAAAAAATGTATCACAGATTTCACAGAAGCATTAAGCAGCAAAACTGTTTTCAATGTTGATAATAATAAGAAATGTTACTTAGCACCAAATCAGCATATTAGAATGATTTCTGAAGGATCATGTGACACTGAAGACACTGATACTGACACTGAAATTTGGCTTTACCATCACAGGAATAAATTACATTTTAAAATACATTCAAAAATAAACACAGCTATTTTAAATTATATTAATATTTCACAACATTACGGTTTTTACTGTATTAATGATCAAATAAATGCATAAGAGACTTCAAAAAAACATTAAGAAATCTTATGACCCCAAACTTTTGAACGGTAGTGCATGTCATTTTAAAATGTTGTCTGAAATATCATTCTTTTCTTCAAAGCATTCAGTTTCTTGATGAATAACGAATAACAACAACAACTGAAGATGGCAAAATACACAGTCACACCTAGGGATGCAGCGATTAACCGGTTTCGCGATTAACCGCGCTTTAAAACGTCACGGTTAATTAATAGTAAAGGTTCCGTTAAACCGAGTGTTTCTGTTACACGGAACCAGAGGCGGACAGTAACTAAGTACATTTACTTGAGTATTGTACTCAAGTACACGTTTTGAGTATCTGTACTTTACTTGAGTATTATTTTTTCTGGGAACTTATGACTTTAACTTCACTACATTTGAAAGACAAATATTGTACTTTTCACTCCACTACATTACTAACCCTGATCATAAGCCTAAAACCGATATTTCCTGAAAAGTTATCTCTCAATTCTGATTGGTTAATTGGAATGTTGATCCAGGAACATGTTGTACTTGGTGAAATCAGGTCACCCCTTAAACTGACCAACTATAGCTTGTCATGTGGCCTAAATAAGGGATTTCTAGAAATTATGACAATTGTGCCCAGATATGTCTTTAGTGCCAACTAAAAGAGCTTATTTAAAGCTGCAGTCCGTAACTTTTTTGTGTTCAAAATTTACATAATTTATATAATAAGCGAGTAAACCATGAATCCATTTTCCAAACCGTGTTTTTGGCTTGTCCTGAATCACTATAGTACACCTATAATAAGTGTTTATATTCGGACTATTTTAGACTGGTTCGGGTATGTACCGCTGCGGAGTAGCCCAGTACATGCGTGATTCGCCATAGACATAAACAGAGAGAAGTAGCTCCGGCTACAATGTTCTTCCGC